ACTGGTATTTTGATGGGAATTACATTGAACCTGGAAATAACTTTGGGCAGTATTAACATTTTAACAACACTGATTCATTCAATCCATGAGCATGGGGTGTTTTTCCATTTCTTTGTGTCATCTACAATTTCTTTCATCCATGTTTTGTAGTTCTCCTTGTAGAGATCTTTCACATCTCTGGTTAAGTATGTTCCTAGATTTTTGGGGTTTTTCAGCAGCTGTTGTAAATGATATTGAGTTCTTGATTTGATGCTCAGCCTGGCTATTATTAGTATATAAAAATGCTACTGAATTTTTATACATTAATTTTATAACCTCAGACTTTACTGAATTTATCAATTCTAGGAGTCTTTTGGAGGAATTGTTAGGGATTTCTGGGTATAAGATCATATCAACAAACAGGGATAGTTTGACTTTCCCTTTTCCAATTTGAATGCCCTTTATTTCTCTCCCCTAATTGCTCTGGCTAGGACTTACAGTACTATGTTGAATAGAAGTGGTGAAAGAGGGCATCCTTATCTTGTTCCAGTTCTTAGGGGGAATGCTTTCAATTTTTCACTATTCAGTATGATGTTGGCTGTGGGTTTGTCATGGCTTTTATTATCTTCAGATATGTTGTTTCTGTGCCTTGTTTGTTAAGAATTTTTATCATGAAGTGGTGCTGAATTTTATCAAATGCTTTTTCTGCATCTATTGAGATGATCATATGGTTTTGTTTTTAATTCTGTTTATGTGGTGAATCACATGTATTGATTTGCAAATATCGAACCATTGGTGCATCCCTGGGATGAAACCCATTTGATTGTTGTGAATTATTATTATTATTATTATTTTGATATCTTGTTGGATTCAGTTTGCTAGTATTTTGCTGAGGATTTTTGCATCTGTTTATGAGAGATATTACTCTATAGTTTTCCGTTTTTGTTGAGTCCTTTCCTGGCAATGGTATCAGGTTGATACTGGCTTCATAGAATGAGTTAGGGAGAATTTCCTCCTTTTCAATGTTATGGAACAGTTTCAGAAGGGTAGGTACCAGTTCTTTGTAGGTCTGGTAGAATTGGGCTGTGAATCTGTCTAGTCCTGGGCTTTTATTTGTTGGCAGATTTTTGTATTACCATCAATCTTGTTATTCACTATTAGTCTATTCGGGATTTCCATTTCTTCCTGATTCAAGCTTGGGAGGTTGTGTATTTCCAAAAATGTATTCATTTCTTCTAGATTTTCTAGTTTCTGTGCACAGAGGTATTTGTAGTAATCTCAGATGATCTTTTGTATATATATGGTATCAGTTGTAATGTCTCCTTTTTCATTTCTGATTGAGCTTATTTGAATTCTCTGTCTTCTTCGTTCATCTAACCTAGTGGTCTGTCAATTTTGTTTATCTTTTCAAAGAACCAACCTGTTAACCTTTTGTTTCATTAATCCTTTGTATTTTTTTTTCTTTTCATTTCAATTTCATTTAGTTCTACTCTGATCTTTATTATTTCTTGTCTTCTACTAGCTTTGTGTTTTGCTTTTCTCTTGGTTTTCTAGTTCCTTGAGGTTGTTAGTTCGTGATCTTTCTGTCTTTTTGATGTAGGCATTTAGTGTGATGAAATTCCCTCTTACTATGTTTTTTTTTTTAATGTTCTTTTTTTTTCCAGAATATTACAGGGGTACAAACATTTTGGTTTACATGAATTGCTTTTGCACTGTTTGAGTCAAAGTTATAAGTGTGTAGTACTGGTTTTTTATGTATCTCAGAGGTGTTGGTAGCGTGTGGCCATTGTCATTCAGTTCAAAAAATTTTTTTATTTTCATCCTGATTTCGTCATTGACCCAAAGGTTGTTCAGTACCAGGTTATTTAATTTCTATGTATTTGTATAGTTTTGAGAGTTCCTCTTGGAATTGATTTTTACTTTTATTCCACTATGATCTGAGAAGATATATGGTATTATTTTGACTCTTAAAATTTTGCTGAGACTTATTTTGTGGCTTAACGTATGATATATCTTGGAATATGTTCCATGGCTAATGAGAAAAATATATATTCTGCAGTTTTGGAGTATAACATTCTGTAAATGTCTATTAGGTCCATTTGTTCTAGCGTCCTGATTAGGTCCAGTGTTTCCTTGTTGATTTTCTGCCTCAGTGATCTGTCTAGTTCTGTCAGTGGCATGTTGAAGTCCCTCACAGTTATTATGTTGCTATTTATTTCATTTCTTAGGTCTAGTCGTTTTAGTTTTATGAATCTGGGAGCTCCAGCATTAGGTGCATATATATTTAGGATTGTTATATCTTCTTATCAAATTGATCTTTTTATCATTATATAATGATCATCTTTATCTTTTTTTTTTTTTTTTACTGTTGTCAATTTAAAGTTTGTTTTGTCTGATATAAGAACAGCTATTCCTGTTCATTTTTGGTTTCCATTTGCATGGAATATTTCTTCCCCTTTACCTTGAGTCTGTACAACTCTTTTTTTTTTTTTTTTTTTTTTTGTGAGTGCCGTGGCGTCAGCCTAGCTCACAGCAACCTCAAACTCCTGGGCTCGAGCGATCCTTCTGCCTCAGCCTCCCGAGTAGCTGGGACTACAGGCATGCGCCACCATGCCCGGCTAATTTTTTATATATATATATCAGTTGGCCAATTAATTTCTTTCTATTTATAGTAGAGACGGGGTCTCGCTCTTGCTCAGGCTGGTTTTGAACTCCTGACCTTGAGCAATCCGCCCGCCTCGGCCTCCCAAGAGCTAGGATTACAGGCGTGAGCCACCGCGCCCGGCCGAGTCTGTACAACTCTTTATGAGTCAAACAGGTTTCTTGGAAATAGCAGATATTTGGGTTGTGTCTTTTTATCCATTCTGTTAATCTATATCTTCTAAATGGGACATTTAAACCATTTACATTCCATGTTACAATTGATATGTGAGATATTGTTCTAGTCATCATGTTGATTGTTACCTAGTTGCCTTGTATTCTCCCTTGTGTTACTGTTTTATAAGAGCTGTGAGTTTTTACTTTTGAATGCTTTTACACTGGTGATTATCAGCTGTTCTTTTTGGTGTTTGGAGTGTGTTTGAGCATTCTTGTAAGGCAGATCTAGTGGTGACAAATTTCCATAGCGTTTGCTTGTCTGAGAAAGACTATTTCTCCTTCATTTATGAAACTTAGTTTTGTAAGATATAAAATTCTTGGTTGACAGTTATTCTGTTTAAGAAGACTAAAGATAGGACCTGAATCCTTTTTGGCTTGGAAGGTTTCTGTTAAGAAGTCTGCTGTCAGTCTGATGGGTTTTCTGTGGTGAGTTACTTGATGCTTTTGTCTCACAGCTTATATGATTTTCTCCTTCACTTTGATTTTGACCAGTTTGATGATTATGTGTCTTGGGGTTGGCCTATTTGCAATGAATCTTCCAGGAGTTCAATGACCTCCTTTTATCTGGATGCCTAAATCTCTAGCAAGACCAGGGAAGTTTTCCTCCATTATTCTCTCAAATAGGTTTTCCATGCTTTTTGCTTTTTTTCTTCTTTCTCAAAGTCTTAGGTTTGGGTATTTTACATAATTCCATATTTCTCTTGGAGACTTTAATCATTTTGTTTGAGTCTTTTTTATTTTTGACTCACTGGGTTGTTTGAAAACCTTGTCTTTAAGCTCTGAAATTCTTTCTTCTGCTTTATCTGGTCTGTTGTTAAAACTTTCCACTATATTTTGAAATTCCCTAAATAACTCCTTCATTTCCAGAAGGTCTGTTGGTTTTTTTTAATATCTATTTTTTAGTGAATTTTTCATTCATGTCCTGAATTACTTATTTGGTTTCTTTGTGTTGGTTTTCAGCTTTCTCATGGATCTCATTGAGCTAACTTGCAATCCATATTTTGAATTCCATGTCTGATATTTCAAAAATTTCCTTTTGGTTGGAGTCCATTGCTGGAAAGCTAATATGATCCTTTGAGGAGATCAAAACAGCCTATTTGTTTCATATTGCCAGAATTCTTATGCTGGATGCTTCATATCTGGAATTTCTTCCTTGAGCTCAAAACAGATAGCTTTGCAGTTCACCTGTTCTTCTCTGCTGAGAAGTCTGCTGCTAAGTGTAGAGAGAGAGAGAGAGGAATACACTGCCTTTCATCTCATGCAGGTAGGTACCCACTATGGTGTTGCTGGCAGTTTGACTCAGTTGGACCTCAGACTTCTGGGAGAGTGGTCAGGTGCCAGCAGTGGTAAACTAGGCAGTCCCAAGCCCCCAGGCCGCTGGATGGTGTGCTTGAGTCTTGGGAGTAGGGGGACTAGACTAAGACCAGGCTGGCAAACTTGCCTTCAGGCCTCCCCGAATTCAGGTACTGGCTGTGATAGTGAAGGGCAGGGTGATCTTCTGGTCCAGAAGAATGCTCAGGCAGGAGAATGGTGGATGCACTGTGAGCCTGCAACTGGAGGGGCAGGCCCCTTTTGACAAGATTAGCAGAGGCAGGCAACTGTGGGATACACAATCTACTCATGCCTCCTCTCTTGGTGGTGACAGTGGTCTCTGTCCTTAGGGGACACAAAAGCACCCAGATTCCCAAATCCCACCCTGGCACAGCTACAGCAGGTAGAGGCAGCTCAACCCACTGTATGCAGGGCTACCAGACTTGCTGTGGGCTGTGGCTAAAATGTTCTAGTAGGAGAGGTATAGTCATGCCAGAGACTTGCCTCCGGGGATGGTGGGCTCCTCCCAGAGACAGGCATCTCCCGGAAGAGACAGGCAGCTCAGGGACAGGACTGCTAGCCTCACCCTCCCTCACTCTGTTGCCAAGGTTAGAGTGCCATGGCGTCAGCCTAGCTCACAGGAACCTCAAACTCCTGGATTCAAGCAATCCTTCTGCCTCAGCCTCCCGAGTAGCTGGGACTACAGGCATACACCACCATGCCCGGCTAATTTTTTCTATATATATTTTTAATTGGCCAATTAATTTCTTTCTATTTTTAGGAGAGACGAGGTCTTGCTTTTGCTCAGGCTGGTTTCGAACTCCTGACCTTGAGCAATCCGCCCGCCTCAGCCTCCAGAGTGCTAGGATTACAGGCGTGAGCCACCGCGCCAGGCCTTCATCCTGAGATCTTAAACTAATGTTTAAGTATATGAACTTTTATTTTTCTTCTCTAAAATGGAGATAAGGATGAAATGAGATGACATATATTGCACTTAGCATAATACCTGACATATATTAAGTAGACAATGAATATTTGGTAAGTGGAAAAGAGGACATGATTTCAACTACCAGTTGAATATCTGATTCATCAGTCACTGGATACACACTGACGAATAAAAAAGATACAGTCCCTATGCTCACAGAGCTTAATCAAGGTCCAATAGCTGATAAATGGCAAAGCCCATGTTGACTCATGTCAACATCCTCCACCTTCTTGAGGCCCCTTGAGAGTTCTGGTCTGCTGCTCTGGGAGTCACAGAGCTTACTTGATTATGTTGGTTTTCAGTATACCTTAATATTTTCATTTAGGGCAAGACTTTCTAGCCTTAGGATAGGAAGTAGAAAACTTTTGGTGAGGTATAGTCTGATAACATAATTGAGAAAAGAACGGAAAATGCAAAAGTCATGACTCTCTGTGAATAGCAAAAGCAAAGATTTTATTAATTTCTTGTCCCTAAAAAAACTTTGTGAACAGATTATTCTTCTAGTTTGAATTTGCTTAGGTAGCACTGTTTCCTTAGTATTAGTCAGCATTCTTAGCATTTTTGAGAAGTCATAGATTTGATGGGGATTTGTGGAGGAGCTGCTAAATTACAGAAGAAATTATTACAGCAGAAAATAAATTATGTGGTGCTATAAATACTTGACTCAGTGACTCAGCAAATTCCCTTTATGTCCAAAATGCAAACATTTTGTACCTAACTCGGGAGGTCTGTTTTTAATTTCTGCAGCTTTGCAGTCATCCCTGTTTGTCAGTGATAGATTTTTATATGACATGAGAGACATAAAGATAAAGACTACTTTCAGAGGGAGGCTTAAGTGTTAGGGAAATGAAAGCAGGGGCAACCTTCAGTCATAGGAGTGTTTCAGTATTGATGGAAGGAGATTACCAAGAAGACAGAGAACCATCTGGAATGACTGTGAGAAATTAACTGTTTTTATTATACTCTTGGATAACATTTCCAACTAATAGAATTAGAACTGTAATCCTAGAAGCAAACCCCTGGAAAGTATATAATTAAACTTTAAATTATGTAATTTACATATTAATATGTAATTAACAAGCATTCTGTGTACCTCCAATACCTGTATTTAAGACATTTTAGACTTCCGTTTCTGGCCCTGCCTCTTTCTTTCGTTGCTGATAGCATGCATGCAAACATGGTAAAGGTTCCTAAAACCCATCGGACTTTCTGTAAGAAATGTGGCAAGCACCAACCCCACAAAGTGACACAGTACAAGAAGGGCAAGGATTCTCTGTATGCCCAGGGAAAGCAGTGTTATAATAGGAAGCAGAGTGGCTATGGTGGGCAGACTAAGCCGATTTTCCGGAAAAAGGCTAAAACTACAAAGATTGTGCTGAGGCTTGAGTGTGTCAAGCCCAACTGCAGGTCTAAGAGAATGCTGGCTATTAAGAGATGCAAACATTTTGAACTGGGAGGAGATAAGAAGAGAAAGGGCCAAGTGATCCAGTTCTAAGCGTCTTTTGTTTATTATGAAGACAATAAAATCTTGAGGTTATGTTAAAAAAAAAAAAGATTTTTTTAACCAGACATTTGAGTTGATGTCAAGATGTGCAAGACATACTCTTTGCCCCCAAAGGCTATTAGGAGAGTGATTATATACACACAAACTTTAAAAATTATTTTTTTACCTGATTATTAATTTAGTATTTAGTTTTTAAAACCTAATACATTTTGGAATTTTAATAAATATTACCTCTTAATGACCATGTAAGAATAGGAGCAATATAGGAACTTATATATTTTCTTATAAAACAGTAGAGTATTACTTATTTTAAAAAACAACTCTGTGTACCTTGATCAGTTTTGTTGTAATACAAATATTAACACTCTGTTGTTACTATATTTTATCATGTTGGCAACTAAAATCTGTCAGATGCTGTTTTATCTGGTATAATCCTGAGAAAAGTTCTAATACGGCCTTTTCATACATTTTTTAGCAAAAACAGCCCAAATGTAATACAAAATTGATTGAAATAATTGTTAGAGAAGTGGGAAAAAATATTCACAAACTATACATCCAACAAAAGGCTAATATCTAGAATCTACAAAGAACTCAAATCAGCAAGGAAAAAAAAAAAAAACCCTATTAAAAAGTGGGCAAAAGACACAAACAGAAGCTTTTCAAAAGAAGATAGGCAAATAACCAACAAACATATGAAGAAATGCTCAAGGTCACCAATCATCAGGGAGGTGCACATTAAAACCACAATGAGATATCATTTTACCCCTGTTAGAATGGCTTTTATTAAAAAGTCTAATAATGCTGGCATGGATGCAGAGAAAGAAACACACACTGTTGCTGGGACTGCAAATTAGTACAGCATCTATGGAAAACAGAATGGAGATTTCTCAAAGAACTAAAAGTAGATCTACCATTTGATCCAGCAATCCTACTATTGGGTATCTACCCAAAGGAAAAGAAGTCATTTTATCAAAAAGACACCTGCACTCAAATGTTTATTGCAGCACAATTCACAATTACAAAGATGTGGAATCAACCCAAGTGCCCATCAGTTCATGAGTGGATTAACAAAATGTGGCATATATACATCATGGAGTATTACTCAGCCATAAAAAATGAATTAATGTCTTTTGTGGCAATTTGGATGGAACTGAAGACCATTATCCTAAGTGAAGTATCTCAAGAATGGAAAAGCAAACACTACATGCACTCTGTAATAATTTGGAACAAATTGATGGGCGCATGTAGGCACAGAAAGAAGTAAAAGTCATGGGAAATCAAGAAAGGGAGGTTAGGGGAGAGGTAAAAACCTACTTAATGGGTACAATGAACACTATTCAGGTGATGGGCACACTTACAGCCCTGACTCAAGCATTACTAAAGCTATCCATGTAGCAAAAACATTTGTACCCACCTAATATTTTGAAATTAAAAAAAAATTGTTAGAGAACTATAAACAAAGTTCTACATAAGACAGTAGTCTGCTCATAACAAAATACCACAGATTGGATTGGCTTAAACACTAGAAATTTATTTTCTCATAGTTCTGGAGGCTAGAAGTCCAAGATTAAGGTTCCAGCCAATTCAGTTTCTGGTGAAGGCTCTCTTTCTGGCTTCCAGATGGCTGCCTTATCACTATAGCACATGACCTTTCTTCAGTACATACAGAGAGAAAGAAGAGAGCAAGCTCTTGGTGCCTAAGGACACTAATCCTGTTGGATCAGGGCATCACTCTTATGACCTCATTTAACCCTAATTCTTCACTACAAATACAGCCACACTGAAGGCTTCAACATAAGAATTTGAGGGGGATGTAAATATTCAGTTCACAACAGGAAATAAAGAGGGAGCAGCCAGGGAAGATATTTTGAAAAAGTAGCATTTGACTAGGCGCATGGAGGATGGATTTTTTTTTTTTTTTTTGAGACAGAGTCTCGCTTTGTTGCCCGGGCTAGAGTGAGTGCCGTGGCGTCAGCCTAGCTCACAGCAACCTCAAACTCCTGGGCTCGAGTGATCCTTCTGCCTCAGCCTCCCGGGTAGCTGGGACTACAGGCATGCGCCACCATGCCCGGCTAATTTTTTTTTTATATATATATATCAGTTGGCCAATTAATTTCTTTCTATTTATAGTAGAGACGGGGTCTCGCTCAGGCTGGTTTTGAACTCCTGACCTTGAGCAATCCGCCCGCCTCGGCCTCCCAAGAGCTAGGATTACAGGCGTGAGCCACAGCGCCCGGCCTGGAGGATGGATTTTAACCATTAAGGATTGGAAGGAGGGATTCCAAGTGAAAGAAACAGCTTGACTGATGACATGACAGTGAGAAACAAAGAGCGTATTCAGTACACAGAACAGTTACCTGTTTTACCTGCAGGATAATATCTACACGAGTAAATAGTACTCAGGAAGTTAAGAAATGGAAGATGTGACCAGATTATTTAGTACCCAATAAAACATCAGTTTCTGGTTTTAATACTTCTCTAACTTACTATATGACCTTGGTTATATTTCTTTACTTCTCTTTATCTTAGTATCCCCATGTATTAATGAAAAAATTAAACTATCTCTGAGGTTTTCTTCTAACTCAATGAGTCTATACTTCAAAACAAGTAAATGATTTAAGTTTAACAAGTGTTAACAGGCAGAAGAATCCTACACTTATATAAGTTGAATTTGAATTCCTTACACCCCTCCATGAATTGGGCACCTTATTCAGCATATTCTAAGTACCCAAACTGGACCTCCCCAGGAGGACTGACCAGGCAAATTGGTAAAATATATGACTTCCCCTGTCTGGTTCCATGCCCTTTTTCCAACTTTGGCGGCCCTGTTATTTTCTCCTGCTTTTGACTTCCAGTTCCCTCATGACTGGTCTGTTTACCCTGTTATGGAGACTTAATCCCAAAGCCTTCTTTCATGTTCAGTTGTCATAGACAATTGGTGAAGGTATCCCTAAACCTATAGTAATATTTGCTTTTTAGTAGGAACTAGGCCTTTTACTATAAAAATGAAACATGGAAGTAAACTTTTAAACACTAATAAATAGAGGAGATGGGGATAGGAGGGATGTGGATTTTGTGGTGCTCCTAAAGGCCTTGGAAGTGAGAAATGTCCCCTAAAATCATCTCCAGTGCTAGAACAGCTTAATGTAGGTTTATAGCCATTTACTCTTAGCACTGGACCTGTCTTGGTTATTTTTGGCCAAATAATTACTGTTGTTTACTCCTTTTCTAGAATTCTACGTATAATTCTTGGCTTAGCCAAGCAAACACTTGGATAACTTTGACCCAGTCTATATAATTCAATAGATAATTCTTTCTCCTAGGAAATGGCTGTTAGGCACACAACCTATTCCTCATTCTAAAGGCTCAGTTTTAATGAATTTTTCTAAAATAAGCAGTAAAATTAAAGTTGAAAAAGAGCTGTTCTCCTCAAAAATAGAGACATACTTCTCAACAAATAAAATTTCTCCCCTTATATATTCAGCTTACAATATTTTCTTCTCAAAAATAGGTTGACCTGGTCTTTGTCTATTAGATGTACATGCCAGTCTAGAAGTAGTATCTTCATAATGAACTTAAGTGAGGAGCTTGAGTGATTCATCTGAGACTATTCTAGAAGTCAGAAACTGTTGAAGGCCCAACCCCAGTATTTACTGCTCTGTGGCCTCCACTTTGCGTAGGCACCACCTCAGTGAATCACATTGGCTGTCACTCATTCTCTGAAGACCACAGCTTCAAAATAAATCCCTTAGAAAGTATAGGCACTGAAGTAACAGTTACAGTTTAAATGCACCCACAGTTGACTGTACCATGAATGTAACCTACAATTTGAGTCTTTATTTGGTCACTGACAATAGTCTAAAAGTTTTTTGTCAAAATATCAGTGAAATTTGAAAATTTGGGCCCCAAGATGTTTATTTTCTTGTTTATAGAAAATACTTTGAAGACTTTGCTTTTTGTAACTCTAATGACAATTTTTTTTTTTTTTTTTTTTTTTTTTTGGTCTCTGGAAAAGTTGAGTACATGAAACTAAGAAAGAAAGAGATGCCCTACAAAATTGTAATTCAGTAGCACTGCGGTTTCTGCTTTCATACAGTAAGAAATGGAAAATAATATAAGTTCATTTTTCTTAGATTCACTATTATTTATTTGGCAATAAAAATCCAAGTTAAAAATCACTTGAAATCAGTTTACTAATCATATTTTTCCACTAGATTCTCATTGTCATTAGAGTAGTCTCTAAGATAGTGGTAACAATATCCAAATTTAATCAGAGAATTTAAACCCTAAAGTTTAATGACACAAGAAAATGTGTTCTTCTAAGGAGTTTACCTTTGTCCCTTTTTTAATCCTAGTATAGTAATGACCTACTAAATACAGAACATTGGGAACTAGATGATTATAGCTGGCCTTCTAAGTATATGCATATCTCACTGCCCATGCAGATCCCTAAAACTGCTTATCATTCCTCTACCTTCTCTCAAAGTCAAAACATATGTCTTTTCCTTATCTCACTTCTCTTGTAAAACAGATTTTAAAAGAACATACTCCTTTGAGAGGTAAATAATGAAAATTATTTTCATTCATTCAATCATTCATTTATTTTGTAGAGACAGTCTTGCTCTGTTGCTCAGGCTGGAGTGCAGTAGTCCAATCATAGCTCACTGCAACTTCAAACTCCTAGGCTAAGGGGAGCCCCCTGCCTCTGCCCGCCAAATAGCTGGAACTACAGGTGCACACCACTATGCCTGGGTAATTTTTTAATTTTTTTTTTTTTTTTTTTTTTTTTGAGACAGAGTCTCACTTTGTTGCCCAGGCTAGAGTGAGTGCCGTGGCGTCAGCCTGGCTCACAGCAACCTCAATCTCCTGGGCTCAGCGATCCTTCTGCCTCAGCCTCCCGAGTAGCTGGGACTACAGGCATGCGCCACCATGCCCGGCTAATTTTTTGTAAATATATTTTTAGTTGGTCAATTAATTTCTTTCTATTTTTAGTAGAGACGGGGTCTCGCTCAGTAATTTTTTAATTTTTTGTAGAGATAGGATCTTGCTATGTTGCCCAGACTGGTCTCGAACTCCTTGGCTCAGGTGATCCTCCCACCTCAGCTTTCCAAAGTGCTGAGATTATAGGCGTGAGCCACTGCATCTGGCCCTGTTTTTATTTTCTATTTCATTTTTATTCCATATGTAGTAACCACATTTTAAGTGTCTTCTAAAGCTTTTTAAAGTAATATACAAAGATTACAGTTTATAACAAGAAACAGAGGTCCCTGCCCCACCCCCAAGGTCTACTTTTCAGACACAACTATGGTGAAACTCTTCCAGTGTTTCTTTTGATATTAATATTTCATTTGCTCTAATTTTGTCCAAACCTTTTATTGTGACACTTTTCAAACATACAGAAAAATTGAAAAAATTTATGGTTGGACATCCATAAACCTATCTAGAGCCCAGCATTAACATTTTTCTATCTTTATACGTATCTATCCATTCATTAATCCATTTTTATGTATTTCAAAGTAAATTATAGTCATCATATAATTCCAGTACCTCAGTGTATGTATCATTTACTAGAGTTTATAACTAGAATTATAACTAGAG